TTTTTGATGTGTAACGTCTTATGGCTCGTTGGGTAGGCTAGTGAATCCGTGAAAAACGAGCGAGCGAGCGAGCGCGATAATCGTAGGTTTTTAGTCTCAGTAGCGTCTGTTTGCTTCTCGCGCTGTGATTGGTCTACGCTAGGCAGTGTCGAGTGACTGCTAGTTCGCTTCTGCTGCGACACGCACAGCACGGGCGAGCAGTACTCGACAGTCAGAGCTCATTTCTATGAAACGTACAATGTAGCGTTGTGTATCTCTGCGTCTCTGTCTCTCGCTCGCGCGTTGCGTTTTTACGTGTGTTGATCGGTCAAAATTATTAAAACTAAATCGAAAATTTGAATTAAACTTGAATTCGTTTTGAAACGGAACTTAATGTAAGTTGAGGCCGCGCAAGCGGCCTCGACACTCAATAAACGAAATCACAATTAATCGGAAGGTATTGACTACAGAATAAATCGAAAAATCAGTTTTATTAAAATTGAATCAGTTTTATTAAAACAAAATCAGCTGTATAAGAACAGCTGTAAGATGTGTAACGTCTTTATGAATATTAAAAATAGAATTTAACATTAAACAATTCAAGTAATTTTATCAAAACAAAATGCGAGTAATTCGATTTAAAAAGTTCAAGTAAATCAATTTACAATAGAAAAAAAAAGTAGCGCTGCAAGATGTGTAACTAAAGTCACATTTAAAGGTAAAAAATAAAAAAAATAAACAAATAAAATAAACCAAATAAAACGAAAAAGTACTTGACGTTGCACTTCTGGTGTCCGAGCATATTAAACAAAAATCACCAGAAGTGCAACGTCAAGTACTTTTTCGTTTTATTTGGTTTATTTTATTTGTTTATTTTTTTTATTTTTTACCTTTAAATGTGACTTTAGTTACACATCTTGCAGCGCTACTTTTTTTTTCTATTGTAAATTGATTTATTTGAACTTTTTAAATCGAATTACTCGCATTTTGTTTTGATTTAATTACTCGAATTTTAGATAATTTTTTTTATTTTCAATTACCTGAAAAAAAAATCGGATATCGCCAAAATCCTCGGAATCGTTAGCCGCAAAAAAGCTTGCACACAGTACTGAGGTAGAAGCTTTGGTGTAGCTTGTGTTATGTGCAGCTAACTCAGCATAAAAGATGAATTCAACGCTCTCGACGATTCAATCTGCTACACTGTAATGACAATTTCAGCAGTTCATATTTACGTTCTCGAGTGCATATCAGGTGGATGTTATTTTCAAAAAAAAATTGATTCATTCACTCACTTTGTGAGTGGGATCGTCAGCATTGACACGAATGTGTATTGCGAGAAAGCGTGATAGGATACCAAAATTAGAGTTAGCCAGCTTAACGTAAAATTACGAAGATCCAGCGACCGTGCTAAATAATTGATTTATGTTCTAAGATGCACATGGTATGTTTTTTTTTCAATTGAAAATTCATATATTATCAACATTTTTATTTTAGCTTGGACGCAATTTTTATTTTTAAGTACAATACAGTGAGACAAAGTAACACTGGAGGAATCTATTGTATAATAAATTTAAATTTTTAGATTAGTTTTTTTTAACAAATAAATTTAATAGTACATAATGATTTGGAATAAAATTTATCCTAGTATTTTATACATTTATTCGGACATAATGCGCGAGCGATGCCCCATGTCGATGTGAGCTCTGAGGCTCTTTTTTTGTCCGAAAGTCTTTTCGCACGTCTCGCATTTATGTGTGATACCATTATGTGACGCTTTCACATGTCTCCGGAGAGCAGATTGATGCCGATATATTTTTTCACAAAAATCACATTTATAAGTGACACCATTATGTACTGCATTGATGTGATTTTTTAGTTCATCTTTTCTGCGGAATTTCTTTTCACATTCATTGCATGAATGGGTAATACTGCGGTGCACTGAATCGACATGAGCTTTAAGAGAACTCTTGTATGTATATTTTTTTTCGCATATAGTGCAAGCGAGAGTGATGGCTCCATGAATCGACTCAATATGGACTCTGAGATCAGACTTGAACATAAATTTTTTTTCGCATATATCACATGTGAGTTTGATACCATTATGCACTGCGTTAATGTGCACTTGAAGATAATTTTTTTGTGTGAATGACTTTTCACACGTGTGACATGTATGAGTCATTTTATTATGTACCGAATCAATGTGGCGTATGAGATTACAATTTTGTGAAAATATCTTGTCACATAAATTACATGCAGATGAAATTTTTTTATGCACGGAATCGATGTGGTTTTTGAGACGATCCTTTCGTTTGTATGTCTTTTCACATATTTCACATGCATAAGTAATTGTGTGATGCACCGAGTCAATGTGGCGTTTGAGATTTTTCTCATTTACAAATGATTTTCCACACGTGTCACACTTGTGGGAGTCACCAGTAAACATCGATCGTTTGGCAGCATTTCTTTTTTGATTTCGTTTGCTGGGTTCACAGTCAAAATTTGCTGCTTCGTCTTCCAAAATTTCTTGCTTCACTACTTCTGCAGTTTCTACTTTAATTTTGTTTAAAGTTTCACGATCATTGATATAGTTCATATCTTGCCAGTGATTTTCAGAGTAATCCTCGACTTTTGTAACTGCTAGTAAATCCACCTTGAGCTTCTCGTCTTTACATTCGAACTCGATTCGAACGTCGTCCAGTTCATGTCCATGATGTTTGTTAAATTTTCGAAGCACTCGAGTCTGCAACAAAATTTGAAATACATCAAACTTTTCGTCCAAAACTATTACAGTTGTATAATTATCAACACTTACTGAATCTTCTCGCAGAAACTCGAAGTTTTGAATCTTTCCAACTGACGATGTCTGGTCGATTACTTGATGATCGTTTTCATGAGAGGACTCATCACAAGGTTCTTCTTTGATTCTGAAATAATCCAATGATTTAGTATCATTATGTCGCATTTTCATGCTTTTCTTTTTATAAAATCAAAATTTACCTGATGGCACAGTTGAATGTATCACTCGATTCCATGTTGCTCACTCAGAATTTCGTTTGCGACTAATCGTACTTTCATAGTATTACACATGAAATTAACGAGTATAAATATTGACTAATCATAATACGTAAGTGTTGTACTCCCTGTAACCAAGCAATGTACGATCATTGCGTATTATTTGAGAAATCAAATTTGGGATTGTTTTTCTATAAAATATATTTTACCACAAGGAATATTTCAAAAAATGAATTTCAATCGCCCCGAGCACTCCGGTAAATAGTTAGTACCATCAAGCATCGATCATTTATTTAACCAACGAATTACAGCTCGGTTTCCAAAAGTAAAGAGAAAAGAGCAAAAATTAGCATCGTGTCGTCGAGCGAACAAAGCACAACAATGCACACACTTACGCACATGACGCATATAATGCCGCATGCATCGCACACACATCGTCCTCACACACCATAATTTGTACCACATCGAGTCAATATTTTACTGAATTATTGAAAAACTTTTCATTCGTCCGTGGCTCAGCAGCTGTTGTAGTTGAGTTTTTTTTTCATCTCCCCCGCGCGCGGTGTATATCCTTTGTAATCCTAGTCTGCAGTAGCAGTGCAATTCTGCCGCAAAACAATAATAAAAGCCAACGGCGTTTTTCTTTTTTTCCTCTTCTTCCTCTCTCTCTTTTTTTTCTCGCTTCTTTCTTCTTTACGCACAGCTTAACTCATGTATACCCGTCGATTACCTTTGCTATACCAAGTGCACGGAATTTAACGCTGCGTTTCAGGCAACTTGTTAGCCACGACGCGGCAATTTCGATGTGTTAAAAAAATAAAAAAAACCATTCTAGTGGTCGCAATATAATTTTCACTTGCTACTGCCAGTAAGCTGCTATAATAAATCTCTCTCTTTCTGTCGAGTCCGACACTTTGTGTCTTTGATCTTGTAACGCGTGTTCGAAATGCAATTGAACAGTGAACGTCAGTACCGATCTCTTGCCGATCTGGGTTTATCTACCTTTTTCAACCTTTCTGGTAGAAATGCTCAGCAATAATAATAATCTAATGACCAACTACTGATTAATTATAATGTTTTAAAATACATTAAAATTAATTGGCTTGTATTTGTTTATTTCTCTAATACAATTAATCTAGAAATATTAAGAGCATTTTAAATCACCTGAAAATGACAATTTCATGGCCTCAAAAAATTAAGGCCACTTTTCAATCGAATAAATACCTTTTTGAGCCTTTACCACCGAGATCCGCAAATCTGCAAGTGACAAAGTCAAAATAATTTTATAAGTTGAAGGCAGGGTTTTGATATTTTGTATATTTGAGTAAAAACTCTGTTAGGAATGCCATACGACCGTGACATGCAAGTATAGGTATATTATAAATGTAATAAGCACACTGAGAAAAAAAATTCATTGATTCAATGAAACGTTTGATTGAATACAATCTATGAAATAATTCATTCATCCAACAAAATATTTAATTGTTTTCATGAATCTTTGGTAAAAACAATTAAATATTTTGTTGGATGAAATAAAAAAAGATTATTTCAATGAAATTATTTCATAGATTGTATTCAATTAAACGTTTCATTGAATCAATGAATTTTTTTTCTCAGTGCATGTGTGCGAGGACGAAAATAGTATTGATACTATTGAGAGAGAGACAGGAAGGAAAGTCGCTTGTGCACATGGATACGCTGTCGAACACTCGCGTGAAATGCGACGACCACATAACAGCAGGACACGCGCGCAGTATGTTATAATATTTTTATGCACGCATAGCGTTGGAGAAGAAAAATGTACGCGTCATCTCTCCAGATACTTTTCTTCTTTTCTCGAGGATGTCACGAGCTTTTGTACAAATACTTCGTAAATCACGTTCGTAGTGCAGATATTTCATCGATGATATTATGCATAAATTGTCCAAAGATCGCGGATGTTTTCTTACGACTGATATAAAGGAATACATTGTTCTGTCTCTGAAACGTACTGCTTTGCGCAAATCTCGCAATGATAATTGCGCCGCGCTCGTTAAATTCTCACTTTTATTTTTATTCTTCTTCTTCTTTTTTTTCTATTGGTATTGTATATATAGCTACGCGCGTGCCTCGAGGCGTGTGTTAATTTTGTGCAACGCAACAACGATGCCATAGCAGCTATATATGTACTGTATGCACGATCTCTCTCGTAATAACGCGCCAATCAAACAATTACAAACGAGGTCTGGAGCTACTTTATGTGTATCTTGCATGTGTACGTGTATACATCGTGCGTTCGACGCACGAGTCACCGGCTACCAACGTAGGCTACTATATTTATGTGTTAATTCGGGTCGATTGTATACAGGAGTCAAGATCGACTAAAAAATTTTATTGATATTTTATTTGACATGAGTCGAAAATTCGAAAATCGAAAAATCTGGTAAAATTTGATTATTTTGCTTTTTGTATTTTAAAGCTCTTGCGTGTCTTTCGTTGCACTGCTTTTACCTCGTATAGGTAATTTAGTATGAATTCTAAACATAACTTATGACTTAATAAAGAAAAATGATTTATGAAAATATTTTTAAATACTTAAAAAACAATTAATGAAGCGACTATTCTGTTATAGTTATGTTAGAAGTATTGATAGCAATATTAATGACCTAACAGTTTCAACAAAATTAGACGAGTTTTCAATCACTTTAAATACAACAATACTTTAGACATTCGCCACTAGATGGCGAGTACCCTGTGAATCTGCTAGTGGTAAAGTCAAAATAACTCTATATAATTACGCATTTTGAGGTATTGAGAACACGCACTGCTTTAATGCCTTGAAACTACTCACAGTCTTATTGATACTATTTTTGATTATCATTTATGATTTTTGGATTTAATTATTTTGTACCCTGCTTCATTTGTGAATTTTAATAAATTCTCTTTCGAAGCCCTTTTTAAACTTTCTACATAAGTTAAGAAAGAATGAACTGATCTATTCTTCAATAAGGGAAAACTTTCTTGCAACTTTTTCATTTTGATGGTAATTTTTCCCGAACGATGATCTTTATCTTGTTATAAAAATTCAATCACAAATTTTGTTTCCTCGTCAATGTACTTGAGTGAACCATTTCTATTAACTTACTTTTTTGCTTCTTGTAATGGGTTCACAGACGCAGATACAGAAATGTTGGGTTCTGTCGGTACTGCATTCTCAATAACTTCGGGATGAGATATCGATAAAGGTGATTGTGAGGCACGTTCTACCGAAAAAGATTCGATTTCGATAATTGATGAATTCGGTGAGGAACTTGAATCTTTGGACACTGTGGATTCTATTCTTGATTCATTACCATTCGTAGAATGAGATGCTGATAATATTGTCGTCAACGAGTCAGCAGATACACAGAAGTTTGACACGATATCAATTTTATCAATAGTTGATTCGTTCTTTGTCAATTTATGCACAATATAAAAAAAGAAAAGAAAAATTAAATCTAAAATGTATTTTAAATTGTGGAACTAATTTTACATCGTATAAACGTAAAGTCGGAAATAAGATTTGTAATAATAGAATAAAGCTTTTTAACCCACCCAGGAATATTTGTTACAAAATTGAATACTCTGAATGATATGAGGAAGAGCGATTCGAGGTGACGGTAAAAGCATAATGAATTTATGGTTTCTCTAAAATCAAAGATGACTACATATTTGTTAATTACTCAAACAAGGATCTACTATAGTTACAATCGAACTTCACTTACAGCCCTTACAGTAAGTTCGTTACATAAGTTCGTTTGATTTTCAATTCTGCGTCTCTATCACAAAACAGGTCCAAAATAAAATGAAAATCTAAAATCCTTACAAATCAAACGGTTATTATTTATATGTGAATACATATAGATCGGACAAATTGCTGGAAAATCATACCATACGTACGCGGAAACGCGCGTCTCTCACGCACTGATCATTACAAATGTCCATAGAAAACATAACGAATTGGCGCCATCGGCTGCATAGAAATGTACATAGAAAGTATACATATGGATATCCAGTGCTGCAGTCCGCGCGTAAAAAACTTGTTGCGCAATCCTCTCCCGGCCACGTGCATATAACTCAAGGTGTATACATTATATGCATTTTCCAATTTGCCCTTAGCTCGAGGATCGTTTTACGCTCAACATTATACATACAATATGTGTTTGTGTGTGTGTGTGTGTGTGTGTACCATGTTGAATGATGATGAAACGAATGCTATATTTTTCTGTATCTTTTTATGTTATAAGTATCAATGACACCGAATAAAAATATTCATTCGATCTTTTAATTCATTCTAAGTAAAAAAAAAAGAAAAAGAAACAGGTTTGGAAGTATCCGAGAGACAGAGAGATATAGAGCAGAAAAAAAACCGCTTGATTAAGTACGTGTTTATCATTACGTATCGTACGATATATTGTACCGCGCTCACGATATATACTACCATACAGACGCACGCGCATATGAAGCGGTAGAGGAAAAATCGTGCGTCAAGTTTTTTTTTCATTTCAATAACACGTCAATTTCGGTATTATATCTACACCGCAGTCGCGAAACCAGCGTACATCATTAAAGACGTGTGTCTATGCTTACGCGGCGCTGCTCCGAAAGCAGCAGCAGCAGCAGCAGCAGTAGTAGTAGTAGTAGTAGTAGTAGCGGGACAGGAGTAGGAGTCGCTTAGCAGCAGCAGCACATGTGTCGAGATTGGAAAAGTGTGTTGTGCTGTTGCCTCTGCGCGGGAGTGGGAAAATCGAAACAGAAATTGTGTACACGAGAGCTGGTGTTATTTCGTCTATATTGAGCAGCTACTACCGCGCCATTCGCGCTGCGCTGGCTCGTAGTGTGTGCCCGTAAGCCTCGTGTGTACCTGCGCATACAAAGTCGTGTAATATAAGTTGAAGCAGTTTAGTTCGAAGTTTATCTCTCCTCGTGCGCGTCACACGATATAATTACGTATATGGTGCATGAAAATGTCATCAAAAGCAAAATCGAGTGATTGTGGGTTTATCACTTTATTGGTGTGTTTGATCGTCTGTTTCTCGATATGTAACGCC